TTTCTCTTCTAGGAGATTTAGTGTTTCTGTTTTAATGTTCAGTTCTTTAATCCATTTTGACTTTAGTTTAGTGCACGGTGATAGACCTGGGTCAAATTTTACTTTTCGGCATGTAGAGAGCCAAATTTTCTAGCACTGTTTGTTAAAGAGACTATCTTTCTTCCAGTAAGCATGTTTGGCCCCTTTGTCGAAGATCATGTAGCTGAGTGCGTTCCTAGAGGCTTCTGCATCTACTAATCTATTCCATTGATCCTCAGGTCTATTTTGTTGCCAGTACCATGCCAATTTTATTACAGTTGCTTTGTAGTATAATTTTAAGTCAGAATTGTAATGCCTCCAAAGATGTCAGTTTTGGTTGAAAGGCATTAACAATTTGCCTGCTCTGAATGTTATTTTTTGGAGGTATTACACCTCTTCCCATCCTACAATCATCTTGACACCAAAAGAATTATCACTTGACTTTGACTTTTCATGACTGGCCATTGCATATAACCTGTTCAGCAGCTGATCTTGGAGGCTTCCACCTGTAAAAGGCAGGCATAGTACAGTGCCCTCATTGATTGACACTGGAGCCAAACATGCCAGGAGCTACCTAAAATACAAGTCAAACAAACCATGAAATAACACCCAGGATTTTCAGGAATGTTTCTGTAGGTCTACTGACACTGATTGAGGCCGTTATCAATATACCAGATCTTGATCTCTGATGATCTAAAGCTCATATGGGATAAGCAAGGGGGAAGCACAGAGGCAGAATGGCTTGCCATTTGGTTCTTACAATATGTATCATAGTGAGCAGCTACGCATCAATCACACTGGCCAGCCATTTCTCAGAAATGAAGTAACAGTGGGGAGGTAGCTCAGTGGCATAGATGCCTGCCTGGCAAGGTCAAAGTCGTGAGTTTGACCCTTGGTACTAGAAAAAAAAAAAAAAAAAAAAAAGGAAGGTAACAGGAACTGGCTGGCGAGATAGCTCAGTGGTGCCTGGCAAACTCAAGGTCCTGAGTTCAATCCCTGGCCCAAAAAAAAAAAAAAAAAGAATTATAGCCAGAATTATTATCTGGGCAAGTAACAAACTGAAGTATGCTGGCTGGGGTGGAAACATTGGCTTGGTATGTTACATGTGATCTTCTGAGACAAGGC